TTCCCGGATAATTGAATTCTGACTTGAGTTTTTTTTTTTTAATTTTGTTTTATGTTTTTATATAATAAAATAAATATTATTATTTAAATTATATTTATATTTTGTTAAAATAAATATTTATAATATGTTATTATAATAACTATTTATAAATAAAATAAGTTTTATTATTTGAATTATGTTTATATTTTTATATTATTTAAAAATGAATAAAAATAAAAATAATATTTAATTTACATATTTATTAAAATTTATTTTACATATTTAAGATAATAAATAATATTTTTAGAAAAAAATAATTATTATATTTTTAAGGCTTAATTATATTTTTGATCCCTATAAATATAAGCATTTTTGTGATTAGTCCCTACAAATATTTTTGTTTAAAAGTGATCCTTCTAAATTAAGAAATTAGGAAATGGTCCCTATCCTAAACTTCCCTTCTGTTAAGTGCTGAGCTGACAATTAGAAAACCAGCTCACCACTGCACATGGCGCTACATAGAAGGACAGTCACAACTTATATGGCTTGTCATGTTATTTAAATTTTTTATTTTTTATTAATTAAAATAAATATTTACAAAAAAGTCCATAAATATGTTTTATATATTTGCAAAAAAAGTTTTTTTTTTTCCTCTCTAAACTTCTCTCCATCTGCAACCCCTCTACCACCCCACTCCCCCTTTCCGGCATCCCTTCTTTTTTCCATATTCCTATCTTTCAGACATTTATTCCTCGTTCTCATCATTCTCCTACCTCCATCCAGCACCCTTACTATCTCCCTCTCTGCTATCTATTCTAACTCCAATTTCCATTCCCTCTTATTATCCAACCCTTGCTATGGGACATATATCAAAGTTGAGAAAATCACACATGCGTAGATGAGAATTGATAAAATCATCAACACCAGTCTTGGGGTCGACGTAGATGATGAAATGTTAAATATGGAAGAAGTTCCCGGATTTGACCCTGCACCATGAAGGATAACAAATGACAAACAAAAATCCAACAAGAAGATCATTCCGCTCCTTCTCGCATTTCTTCATCTCGAGGAACAATGCAAGCTCCTCATCCTTCTCCTTCATGACAGAAGCCCTCAAAAAACCATTAAAAAAGAAACTATTGAATCTCTCAGCAAAGTATTTTGCTTTCTATTTATTAAACAAGTGGCATATTATGACTTTTTGCACATTTCAAAACATTATCTCCTTTGTTACAATGTTGCCTTTTGTCTAAAAATTCAAATCCTTCGTTGTATTCAAAGCATTAATATCATTAGCACACTTTCATTAACCATTATTTCCCTGCTTTGCTTTGGAAAGACTGATTTTGGACGGAAGAAAAATATGAAAAACGGGTTTTGTGATTTTCTTTTCTTTTTTCTTCAATTGGATAATTTGTCTAATAGGGAGAGGGAGAATGGGTTACGGGGATGGCGCTGGATCCGAGTTTTGGGAGAGAGAAAGAGAAGGACCGAGGAGAAGAAAGAAACAAAATTAAAAGACTTTTATGTAATTATGAAAAATTGTGTTTAGGGACTTATTTTTAATTATATAATTTTAAATAAAAAATATAAATATAAATGATGTGGCATGCCATGTAAACAACTGACTAGGATTCGAATAGGTCACGTGGAGTGTTGAACTGGCTCTCCGTTAGCCAGCTCAGCATTTAACAAAGATGGGGTTAATGGTAGGGATCATTTCTTAATTTCCTACTTTAGAAAGACCACTTCCTAACAAAAATATTTGTAGGGACTAATCATAAAAAGACTTATATTTATAAAGACCAAAACCATAATTATGTCTATTTTTAAAAATTAATTAAAATAATTAAATAATAAGTAAATTATTTTAGATAATTTTTAAAAACTAATTAAATATTTAAATAATAAGTATATTATTTTATATAGTAATGTTAATGCTTAAATTATTTATACTTAAAGAATAATAATTATATTTTTAAAAATTAAATAAATATATTAAATATTATTCTGTTTATTTATTTATTTAAATATGTTATTTTGAGTTAATATTTTTAAATATTAGTATGATAAAATGATATTTTGAATAAAAATTTTATTTTAATTAAATTATTTTTTTTAAATTATATTATTTAATATTATAATTTTTAATACCCTAAACCCTAAAACTTTACTATTATAATTTTTTAATAAATTTTATTTTAGAATAAAAATTTATTTTTAAAAAGTAAATAAAATATTAAATTATAAGTTAATTATTTATACTTGAGATAAATATTTTAAAATTAACATTTTCATATTATTAAGGTAACATTGATGATGACAAAATGTATTAATAAAGATGATAACAAATTCATAACAACATTAATAATTAACTATCTCCATAATGGTAGTTAATTCCATAATGAGGGTGACGTTTGTGACGTGGTAGATTTTGTCTTTGTGGTTGTTGTTTTGAAATTTCAAGATGAACTTGTTGAGGATTTGGATCATCATTAAAGTCTAATTGTTGGAATACATTTGATGAATTACCAAGTTCATTAGCAAAATCTAGTTAGTAAAGAGACTGCACGTAAGTTTGTACTAAAGATAGAGTTGTAAAATCAACTCCAAATAAGTTTGTAAAAAAATCCTCTGATTCTATTACAAACGAATGTCTTGTGTTAATTATGTTTGCTTCTGACGTAATGTTTGAAAGAATTGATGCAGTCTCGTGATACGATGGTGTGGAAGTCGTACCGATTTCAAATGTGTTGGTCGTCCTTAGTTGTTGGTCGCTCTTTCTTGGATTTTGTAGTAGTGGTGGCACAAATAGGAAATAGATGGAATTAACAATGTACAATTTCATGTATTCTTGTGTGTTCAAATCTTTCTCGAGCCCAACTTTGTATCCAAATCTAAAACTAAAAAGAACTTCAAATGGTCGACTTAAGTCTAGTAGGATAAGAACAAAGATGGACATTAAAGAACAACAAAGTCGGGCAAAAAATTGTTCTTATTGTACACCTCTGATCACACAAAGAAGACATGTCCAAACATAGCTTCTAGTTCCCACCATTGATTTATGTTGTTGTTATTATTTTAAAATTTTCTTAATGTCATTTTTAATTTTATGAATGTCATTGTAACTTTTAATTTTTTAGCATTTATAATTTATATTAAATATATAATTATATATATATATATCTACATAATATTATTTAATAATGTTTATTATATTAATAACATATTTTTTAAATAAATAATTATGTATAAATTTTAATAAAGATTAATATCTCAAAATAAATAAATAAACTGGTTATTATTTAATACTTTTATTTATTTTATAAATATATAAAATTAAATAAATTTTTATTATAATTTTTATTTTATATAAATTTAAAATTAAATAAATTATTATTGTAATTTTTATTTTTTTTAAAAATTATAATTTCTGAATATAATGTTAATAGCATTTTAAAAAAAATCAAATTTATATTAAATAATATAATAAGAAAAACTAAAATATTATTTATCATATTAAATATGTAAAATAAATTTTAATAAACATGTAAAATAAATATTATTATTATTTTTATTCATTTTCAAATAATATAAAAATATAAATATAATTCAAATAATAAAACTTATTTTATTATATATAATTAACAAAATATTTATAAATATTTATTAGAATAACATATTATAAATATTTATTTTACAAAATATAAATATATAAATATACTTTAAATAATAATATTTATTTTATTATATAAAAACATAAAACAAATTTTAAAAACGAAAAAAAAATCCAAGTCAAAATACTCACATTCACGCCCATCATTATAAATTTCTGTAGATAAATATTCGTGCCTAAACGCAAACCAATTTAGTGGTAATTGTCCTTCTGCATCATAGATGCTTTTTCAAGTACCCAATAAACCCTAGTTTAGTTGTTATCGCTCTACTAGGAATGTCATATACACTCGAGATGCAACTTTTACAAATATGAGGACTGCGTAATTTGAACTTTCTTTGGAGAAAAGAAGTTAATATATACCCAAAAATAAGGTAAGGCTTCTGCATATTTAGATCTTAAAGAGCTTAATTTTGATGGCTTAAAACTCAAGGATTTGATGCAGGATATTCTACCTCAAAAGTTTTATGTTAAATTTTCATAAAATAACCTTTAACACAAACATGCAAGATTATGCACTATTTTTCCTCTAAAAATTTTGTCCAGGATTACTACATTCTGCTGTCCCATATAAGGAATAGGGAAATTATGACAAACTGCACCTGATTTGCCACTTCATGCTGAAAATTCTGCTATGGGGTTGAGTGACAAGGATTCGGTTGAAAATTCAAAGGAAATCTTACAAAAAACCTAGTGTTCACTCCCTTCCTCCACCAATGCACAACGCGGTCTAGTAGACGACAATCAAAACAAGCTCAAATGACCTTTATTCTTGAAAAGAATCCATACCATAGTAACAGCTTCATTAATGACCTTTCGAAGTTCATGACCAATCAAAAGAAAGCATACCATATACCCTCAAAGGCCATCCTGCCTTCATTTGGATCATGAATCCTACACTGGTGAGATTAATATACGGATTTCGGTAACTGAAAACAAGAAAAATAGACTTCCATTAACCAGAAAAAGCTCTAAAACTTCAGTAATTAAAAACCACATATAATAGACATCTAGGTATAACCTAACACTCGAACTATCTCCATCAGAACTACCATCCTTGGAAGGAAACCTTTCATTACGCAACACCTCTTTTTTAGCACTCGATTGTCAGGCTTATTCCTTATTATCGTTTTAAAAACACTTGGAAACTAAAAAGTAAAACCAAATGACCATTAAAACAAACATCCAGAAACAATTTAATCCCAAGCCATTTCCTCAAAAACTACCCAACCTTGTAAAAAGACTCCCCCTCGTTAGGTAACTTCTCTACCTCAGGATTTTCATGCGCTTCTTTCTATGCTTTAAGTTTGTTCAAACATTATAAATTTCTCTACCAAGTGTTTGAAGCTTTGCACAGGCCAACTGTTTCATTGTATGTCTCACATGACCATTTTCCTTGCCATCATCAGCTGCCCCTGCAGTAATTGCTACATGTCTGACAGGAGAGATGCATTCCAACAACTACGTATGGTTGCGTTTATGTATTTTCACTATATATAATGGGCACGGCAACCTCATAATTTATGAAACATTGGTGTTATTACAGAAATTTGTGTTGGGAATCAAGTCCAAAGCAAAATCTCGTTTGATTTGCCTTTCCATGAACTAGATCTTTTCTGAAATTACCTAATCAAAGAGCTCACAGTAAATGATAAATACAAATTATAACCATCCACCGGTAATAACAGTAGAGGGGGATGGGGTTAGAAAAACAGCACTTATACCTGATTCGGATTGGCTAAGGAAACTAATGAAATAAGAAATGAGTTAGACAAATGCAGGTAGGCACTGCTTTCAACCAGTTTAATTAAATGAGATTTGCAAAGGTTTGGCCTTGCGGATATGTCCCATGCTATTGACAAGATCCTTGCGGGTACAGACAGGGAACGTATTGATGTTTCTGAATGCTTTCAGCCGCCACAGGACATAAGGGAAGCTAAGCTGATCCCTAGAAGTGAAGCGAACCACCTCATTAAACCAGACGCACATCAATAGATTAGTTAGCGGTGTGTGCTTCCTCACAATAACAGAGGCTTCACATAGAGCTGCACAGCACAAGCTTGTTCAAACATTTTACAAAATATTGGTGCAAAGCTGGGAATACAATCCAATCTAAATCAAAGTTCGGTAACAGAATTGATGAGAGGATTGGCATCTAAAAACATAAAACAAACTTTTAAATGAAATAGAACAGCAACTTTTTCTTTTTTGAAGAAAAGAAGAAAAATCTAAAATTTTCTTCATGCTAATAAAACTATAATCTGTGCATACCTTTTTTTCCATTAAATCTCTTGTCTTCAGGCAAGCCATCTTTCCTGTATTGATTCAGTTGCACTTCAACTTCCTCTGGCTTGGCTTTGTTCTTCTTGACGACAGCCTTAGCCTCATCATAGACACTACTGCGAGCTCCATGTTCTGATATGGCAAGTATAGAATTTGAGCGCCAAAGGAGTGCTTCCAACACACCTAGTGGATCTCTCCTAAATTGGGACTTGGAGTCCACCCAAATAGAGTATTTTGCTTCAGGAAAAAGGCGATGGCTTAACATCTGAAAGATATCCAAGTGCACACATGGTTGAAAAAGGAAACATAAAGGAAAGCTTCATCAGAGGACAATACCCCCCCCCCCCACCCAAAAAAGAAGAAAAACTAGTGAATAACAGAGCATAATAGGCATGTATCTTATTTTATCCTTGACAAATAAAGCATGGAGTTCATATGCAGGACAACAACCATTCTGTACATGCATTGACGTAGCATTGGACCAAAAAAATAGAATCTTTGGAGAACAAATGGCTTGGACATGGACCCGAGTGCAGCCACATGTTGATTGTGCACTAGCAACACTATCAAGACATAGAAGATGACAAACAAGAAACATCTTTTGGGGGAGGGGTTCACTTCAAAGACTTAATACCTTGGGAATTTTACCATTCAACCTTTGATCAGCAAAAGGAAGATCTCGAACAATGACAACACGCCATTTTCCAATAAATCCATTTTCCCCAATCCTGCGCTCCACTAATTCCTGCGCCTTTAGCGTAATTTCATCCCAGAATGCTACATAACAAACCTGCATACCACTAAATAGATTTGGCAAATAAGATCAGCAACTTCTAAGACACATCAATTACAAACTCTTATAGACTTATACTGCTTAAATAACCTTCTTAAGCGAAGCCTCCGACATCCCAATCGGTTGATAGAGATCATCTCCACCACCAAACGCACAAGTAGACACCACTACCTTGCAACCTTGCATGTAACTCGTATCTTCATCAGATATCTTAAACCCTCCATTCACACTATAGAACCCACAATGTACCATCGTAGTTTCTGACACCTACAATTCATACCAGAAAGAAAAAAATGGGCATACATATAACTACATCCAAGCATAAACTATTCCTACAACTTCAGGAGAAATCATTGAGTCATCAGAAGCCACTCTTTACATCTTCATTACCTCAAAACTTTTATCTCTCTGCTCAAACGTTTGATTTCCAGTAAACAAATTAAACCTTGTGTCTTCAGTACGCAATTGAGACAACGTAACATTCCCTCCTACAAAAGACGCGTCACTCTCTGATATGTACAAAACCTCACCAACAGGAAAATTAGATTCCTCTTCCTCGGGAATATCAAGACGCTCTAGCTTTTCAGGTGGTAGAAGCTTCAAGCAACCTAATAGGGATTCAATTAAACCACGTGTCAAATTAAACACCATATGCAAATTGAAATAGAGAGAGAAAAGGGACTTACGTTCTCTAACACCACCAACAACATGAGTTGTAGGATCAAGGCGATTCAAGTTACTGTGAGGCTCTTTCACCAATGCGGGATTAGATCTATGAAGTTGATTGTTGCGTGTTTCAATCTCAGAGTTCACGTTTAAACTAGGCTTTCGACCGATTCTAGAAGCTTCGAATATGAGCAAACACGCAGCTGGAATAATGATTAGTAGCATCCAGTATCTGAGGAGTAGCTTCCTGAGCCATCGTCGGTGACCGAGTTTTCTGCGCTTCCGTCGCGCACGGACTCGCATGCGACCCAGTTCATCGGATTCGTCGTCTGAGACAGAGATCGATACACTATTGTTGTTGTGGAACATTGAAGAAGATGTGGCGTGGAACGATGAGAAGAAGAGAGAATTGAAATAGCGAATGAGATTATAACCACTGTCGCGCGCAAAATGTAGAAAGAAACTTAACGACCTAGAAACTGCCCCGTAATTGTATACTTGTGCGAGCTGCGGGTTAATCAGCGTTTCATTTGGGTGTCCTTCCAAGTTGCCTTTCTTAGTATTGGAAGTGGAACTTGATGCGAGAAGCAAGAAAAGCTTGCAACGAGCTTTTAACTATAACTATTTTTGTGATATAACTTTCAAAATTGTTTGAATAAAGCATTTTTAGTGTTTGAAAATTATTAAAAGTGCATTTTATTATCATATGAGTTAAGTTATGATTTTTTTTCATCTTTTTTTTTAAAATTTAATATTTACTTTATAAAACGAGAGGAAATATATATCAATTTTATTAATTTAAATTTTAGAGATAAGTTTAAACATCTAAATATCATATTTTAATTAAAATATATAACATTTATTATACTCTTGTTTTCAAGATAATAAATGCTTTCTTTAAATAAAAATTAATATTTCCATATGCTTAACATTTTTCATATAGCAAATTTTTTAAAAAATATATATATAATATTTAGACAATGATGTGTTTGGATAACAGCTTAATTAAATTTTTATTTAATAAGTTACTATTGAATAAAAAAATATATATCATATCATATACTATAAATGAAAATTATTAACTTAAGTTAAAAAGAATTTATTTTGATAAATTACAAATCAAATTTATTAAAATAAGTTTTAAAAAAAAGGCTTACAATAGTTAATATGTTTTTATAAGCTCTCAGTAAACACTTCTAAGCACATCTTAAGTATTCATAAACTTAATTTTCAATAACTTAAATGTGTAAGAATTACTTATTATAATTACAAGTTTTAAACTACTATGCTAATTCCATGCTCCAAATGAATCTTTAGTTATCTTTGCTTCAAATAAAATTGTGCATTTGATTTGTGTGTATGTGTAGAGGAATGAAAATTGTGCATCGAGTAATTACTTTTACTCAGGAATATGAGGTAAGCAAGTTAATTCTTGACTGGTGTGTTTTTCTTCGCTTGAAAAATCTCTAGCGCCCAGAAAGGATGTTCATTTAATTGTTAATGGTGTGTGGTCTCCCTGTCTTTGTAATTGTTAATTGACTGTTGACCTTCTGATTTTGAAATAGTCACCGGATAATTTTTCTTATATATATATTTGTTACTGTCAGCCCATATGACTAATATTAAGTATTAAAAGTAGTAAAACTCAATTACACTGAATGTCTCGGTATCAAATTCTTCGTTATGAGCACCTGAGGAATGGTTTGCTTGGGAATAACATCTCTTCTATAATGATACGTTTCCATACTTCCATTCCAGCATTCCTCACTCAATGGTTGTTTCTACTCGCGGCTATTCAAAGTCACCGAAGCCGACGGATTCTACCAGGCACCATTCTTAAAATCAGTGAATACATTTGCCCAGTTCCCACACCGCCCGCCCCCCCCCCCCCCCCCAAAACAGCTTTTACTGATAGTGGGTTGTCATTTCAGGGGAATTCTTAAATGGACCAACTTGCACGCGGCTTGTGGCTCCGTTGGGACGATCGACGGAGTAGAGAGGAAAGAACACTGAAGAGATCATCCTAAATATAAATAGTTTTCAAGAGGATAAAACCAACCCCTTAATAGAGAAATATTCCAACAACCTTATTAAAACGAGGATAAGAATCGTCTTGGGCAAACTGTCCAGTGTCTTGTAGGGACAAATCATTCCTCATACGCTATTCTAGCGACATGACCAATCTTCTTTCTTTCAATCACTGACAAATCGTTTGCCGAGGAAGGCACTGTGACTCATCCATTGATGATAAGTCTCCCTCAAAGTGTCTCTAGCAGGATCCACAGACAGAACACAATATTTGTATATAATAATCCTGACGTTCCCAAATTCAAGTGAAGTCAGTTATTTGAATGAAGCAAATATACCCTCAGTGGTGGACAGGGCTTATGGTTAACAGGAATGATAGAGGCACTTGACACGGGAGATAAATCGTTGCATATCAATTTTTCTTGGTATCATTTTACATCACTCCTAGACCCTTGCCCAGATTAGCCTCATACTCATGGGTATTGTAAGGAACTAAAGACTAATCTAACATTAAGACTGACTTATGTCAAAACTATACAAACAAAAAAACTGCAGAAATATTAGTAAACTGCTAAAAGAACGATTTATCATCCCACTATCTTAAATACTAAGATGAAATCACAGTACCACACTCAGAAACATCATATGAATACATAGAATTAGAACTCCAAAATTCACATGTCTGAAAGAATAATGATCCAAAATTAGTATATCATATCGGAAGATGGAGGACTCCATGAAAAAAATGCAGTCGATGCATTTTACATTCTCATCCCGAGCAATATTACCTATAGGACATTAAGTAACGCACATTTTTTACAAACTACATGATTTCATACGTACAGTACAGGGCCAATGCCATAATATCCATCCTCAGAACTTTCACAAACATTCCAAAATGCCAAAAATAAGGGAAAATTTTGTACAAAAGGAATGAAGAGTAAAGACCACAAAATTTATGTCATGAAAAGAAACAAGCAACGTAGTAAAAAAAGGGTGATTTTGGTTAGGGGTTGTGAAAGGAGAGAGAAATCTTATCATAGATACAATTCCCAATTCCATACAGATCAAGAAAACAAGAGAGATGGGGAAACAAAATGCAGGATTCTGTATACAAACAACTTGTGGATCTGTTCCAAACTCTCTTTACTTATCTAAAAGAAAACCTACAACTAAAAATGAAAACAATCAATAGTTCAAAATGTAACCAACATAATGAAAAAAATTCCATACATGTAAAATTCCAACCTCAACGTTTAGAATACTGAGGGGCTTTACGAGCTTTCTTGAGACCAACTTTCTTCCTCTCAACCACTCTAGAATCTCTGGTCAGAAGCCCTTCCTGTCTCAAAGGTACTCTATGATCTTCACTCACCTTTAGCAAGGCACGTGCAATGCCAAGGGAAATCGCCTGAGCCTGACCCGATAGTCCACCACCCTCAGCTTTCACAAAAACATCATAACTACTCTCATATCCCAAAGTTACCAAGGGAACCTTAATGTATTGAATCCACAGTGGATTTCCCTGAAGATAGTCCTGTACAACATTGTAATAAATCAGTCAAAAGATAAGTGCTTATTCAATAAACCTTTTTTACAGCTAAGTTTATCCCTAAATTTAATTACAAGGTGTGTTTAGGAACACTACTTAAGTGACATTTTTATATGAAGACTTATCTTATAAATTTGACCGTAAAACTTCTTGGAATAAGCTGAAAAATGCTTCTTTTGATAAGCAATACAGATAAATTTATCCAAATAACTTGGAAAGAGTTTATAAGAGCTGTAAACTATTTTTATAAACTCTGCATAAAATCTTCCAAACCACTCCTAAAATTTCTTAAAATAAGCTGAAAAAAGTTATTTTAATATATTATACTGAAAATTTTATTAAAATAAACTAAAAAAGGGTCATCAAGCTATATTTCATAAACCCTTACCTTCACTTCTAAACGCCCCTAAACTAAGATAAACAGCTTAATTAAGTAGATATTGTATAAATTAGGTATTGATAATAAAATGAATATTGGCTAATGAGACCTTAGCGTCACGGTAATTGATGATGAATTTGCCAGTTCCTTCTTGGAGAACAACGCGAGCGATTGCGCACTTACGGCGACCGGTTCCGATGATTGTTTGGGCGGCGAATCCACCGGGAAGTCTCGATTTCACGTATTTCTTGAGGTCTGCGGTTTCAGGTTCTGCGAGTGCTGTGGCGGATACGATGAGAGAGGGGTTTTTGGGGAAGCGCGAGAGGGAGAGGGATTCGGTTCTGGCGAATGAGAGGGTTTTTGGTTTCTGAGAAATATTGGAAGAGAATGAGAGTGAAGAGAGGGTGGTTGTGAGCGCCGATAGGGAAACCGCCATTGTCGTCCACTGCCTTAGCAAATCGGAGCTTGGTTGGATGGTATATACAAGGCGAGCCAGAGAAAGAGGATAACGAGTCAAGATTTCTTTTTAACAAAATAAAAAGACAAAAAAATAAATATATTGAGTTTACCTAGACTGGTAAAAAGGAAAAAATGATTAATTGTATTTTTCGTTTATCTATTATGATATCATATATTATTAATGTGTTGCATTTGTCATCTAATAATTTTTTATCTGCATTTATTTTTAATTGATACAATTGATTTCTTTCATTTTTTGAGATTTAATTAATTTTTTTCATTATTCTCTCCTTACATTAAATAAATATATTTGGAGTATATTTTTTTGTTAAGTTTAAATGATATTTTTTATACTTGTATGTTTATTCTCAATTTAATTTCTGCCATTAAATTTAAAATAAACGATATTAAATAAATAAAAGATTAAATTTAAATAAATATATATGTGAAGATTGATTTACAAAATTTTTATATATAAGGAATAACTTATAAATCTAAGTTAAAGATATTTTTATAAATTTATGAGGCATTTTGCATATTGATTTTGATGATATTGAGAGATTAGAGAAAGATGTATAGAATATATGGACAATTCTGCTACTGACAACACCAATGAAGCACATTCAAGGACAAGAAAAGTTAGGATGAAAGATTGAAATTTAAGGTGGGTGGGTGTGGGTGATGGTAAGTAAAGGTGAATGTGGTGAAGTAGTTAAGAAGATGAGGAAATTCAATAAAGATTATTGAGTTTTATGATAAGAAACTAAGAAACTCTAACCTTCATTGAATTTTATGCAAGGGAAAAAGAAGAATGAAGAGAGTGAAATTGAAGGTGAAGGCAAAAGGGATGATATAAGTGAGGGTGAGAGTTGTGAAGTAGCTAAAAAGAGAAAGAAATTTGTCAATAGTTGATTGACTTTTAGAATGAGAAACTAAGAGAATAATAAATTGACATCTATTAAAGATTAGAAACAGTAAAAATGAGAGATAAAAAAGTTAAGAAAGGAGAATGAGTATCTATATTTGACTTAAATTTGTAAGTTAATCCTTATGTATAAAAAAATTTGTAAATTAATCTTCACATATATATTTATTTCAATTTATTCATTTACTTATTTAATGTCGTTTATTTTAAACTTAACGGCAAAGACTAAATCAATAATAAATATACGTCTACGGACTTATTTATAAATTTTCTATGTATAAGAACTAAAATATTATTTAAAGTTTTTTGTTATATAAAATTTTTGAATGAGAAAAAAATATTATGAGGTTTTAGGCTTAATTGGGCTAACTCAAGGCAAGGGTGATTATTATGTTAAATTTGTTATAGTATTTTACTTTAGTTTAATTACAATTTTAATCTCTGTTTTACTAAAATGCTCACACTTAAATTTTTTTAATTTTTTAAATGTATAGTTTTTGTCTTTCTAATTTTAAATATTTTTTTTAATTTTTAAAATATTTAATTTTTTTCTTTCTAATTTTTTAAAAGAAGCAAATTTTGTCCTTTTTATTTTAATTGTCTACATTAAATTTTTTTATTTTTCAAATGTTCAAATTAAATTATTAATCTAAAAAATTTATCCAATAACTAATAAAAATATAATTAAAGTATTACATTTTATTAATTTATACAAATAAATAAAGAAAATTATATAAAACAAAATATAATAAAAGCTTTATGGAAGACTGAATTTAAATATTTAAAAAACTAGAAAAACTACCTGTAAAGAATTAAAACTAATGTAACTAAAATTGCATATTTAGAAAGTTAAAAGAACTAAGTAGGATAAAACTATGAAGATCAAAATTCCACATATGTTAAAGTACATGAACTAAACTAAAAGTGTAATTAATTCTTTTATTTATTTAAAAGTTTTTGATTGGTTTGAGATATTCAACCATTAATATTATATTATATGAATAATTTTTATAGTTTATAAAAAATTTAATACGCCAAAGAAAAAAGTTAACATGCATTAGACGTTAGTGATTGAAATCAAATTATTTTTTATTTAGGAGTTTAAGATTTAAATTTAAATATTACAAATAAAAAAAAAGTATTTAGAAAAAAGTGTTTAATCATCTGGATAATATAAATTTTAATATTTGTTATTTGTAAATTATTTTTATGTAAATAAAATTTAGTTCACTGTCCGGTTAGGAAACCGATCACCTTGTGCTTAATTGAGTATGAAAGACTTCAACCTGCACATTGCCTTGTATTCTTCCAACTCGCTCATTGCTTAAATTGAATAGAAAGTATACTTTGGATTCGATTAAACCCGCTAATTACTTGAATTCAGTAGAAAGAATAGTCTTCAATTTCAATTCGCTTAAGAAAAAAAATTTATTTAAACAAATTTAATAAATTCGTTTAAGAAAAAAAATATTTAAACAAATTTAATAAAAAAAATTTAGTTAAACTAAGAAAATTTGTTTAAATAAAAATAATTGTTTAAATTAATTTAATAAAAATATAATTTTCATTTAAATTGAAAAATTTACTTAAGTAAATGTTAATTTAAAAAAATTTTGAATAAAATTATATAGTCATATTTTATAGTCATGATACGAAATTCTACTACTTTCATATCATATAATACTGTATTTATTTTTTAACTAATTTCTTAAACTGATCATTTATATAATTTATATTATTATTTTTAATAATTTAACTTAATTTTAAATAATTATATCTTATTAATATTTAACATAAGTAGTACATTAAATAATATATTTAAAATATTTAATGAAATGATATATAATTTTTTAAATTACTTTTTCACTAATTTATATAAATGAATTTTTTAATTTAAACAGTAATTACTTTTATCAAATTTACTTAAATAAATTTAAATTAAAGTTACACTTCTGCTAAACATGATATGTAAGTCCATAAAAAGAATGAGCATGCAATTAAAAATATAACGAGTGGAGTACTTTGAAAGATGAACAATTAATCATGAGTTATACGGTGAATGACAGCACTAATGTGACACTGTTATTCTTATTAAATTTCTCATAACACACGAAGAACAAGCTTTCCTTCATATATCATATTTTATATTAAAAAATAATTATAATAAATTACAAAACTAAACCATATTTCTACGTAATCTTATGCATGGACAGCTTATTTCATGCTCAGGTACTTGGTAAGGCATATTGTTGAGATAAATGCTTTTAGTGTTATTCTTAAATCATGTGTCGATTTTTAATGTTAATATTAATTGTTTAAATTATTAAATTAAATTTTAATTTTAATTGAAAAACAATATCAACATTACTTATAATATTGTACTTAATCTTGTTTAAAATAATAAAATTTAAGTCTAGTTTTGGTGTTAATTATAAATTATAATTATAATTTTATCTTAATAATATTATGATAATATTAAATATAAATATTTTATTAAAGTGAATTTTAAAAATTAATTTATAAATAGTAACCAGACTACCTAAAAGAAATAATACATAAGTTTTATAATTAAAGAAAACCCTAGTTTTTTTCACGTACTTTTAACTTTATTCCTGAAGATGAAATTGCCTCCTTCATTGTCTTTTACACAATCAAATTCTACAATTCAGAAGAAGCACGTTTGGATTGAACGCACACGAACTAATGCAAGTTTGGGGAGAGGGAGAATTCACATGTTTTGTGTGAAATTTGAATAAAAGGTACCATAATGCAGGTATTATTAGCGTTAATTTTTTTTTAATTAGAATTAATATTTTATTTCAATAATCACTATTTTATCTCATCAACTAAAATTGGTTTATTGAATCACAAAAAATACTAATTATTTTTTGTGAAAAGTTGAGTTAATTATATTATTTTCAATACGATGTCAAATCTGATTTTTAAATAAAAATATAAAAACATTAATTATTTTATTTTAAACTTATTTTATCATCTTTAAGAAAAACATTATTTTTAATCTAAAATTAAATTAGAAAGTACTCGTTCATACACTCATTGGAAACTTTCAAGTTCTCATTATTAGTACAATCCAATGTAGCAATCGATCTAATTGTTGAATATGATAAAAATTTAGGTAGGTGAGGTTGTGACCCATTTGCAGCCTCCCATGTTCATTCAATCTTCAAGTCATTTATCATACGCAATTGATCCTCCCCACTTCCTCACGCGGCTCTCTGCTTCTTCAGCCTGTGAAAATACATTGGCAACAAATTAAGAACATTTTTTTAATACATAACTAACAGGATTATTTACTTGGAAATATCAATAATTTAATATTTTTTATGGAAACTTCTGGTTCGCATTCCAGATCTCCTTATCCTCCTTGTGTCTCTAACAGGATTAATTAAAGAAGACTTCAATATAAATTTAATCCTTATATTTTAACAAATTTTTTAATTTTTAATTTTTAGTTCCTAACCTTGACGTAGTTAAAAAAAAAATAATATGTGATAATTTCTCAATATACTGGGTTAACATTAGAGACCAAATATAAAAATTTATAAAAAATATGAATTAAAAAAATTCATTTAGAGAGACTAAAATAAAAAATTTAGAAAAATATGTATAAAAAACATGTTTAAACTAATAAAGAGTAAAGAGACAGAGAATTCTAATTATGGAAAATGCCAACCTCTTTTTTCCAGTTTGTTATTGAAGTGACCACTATAAGGATTACTGTCTGCAAAAATATGCCTCCAATCATCCCTGACCAAATACCCTGAATTATACATAGCATACAAAAAGTAAGAATAAAACAATATACTCTGATAATACAATAATAAAATCCAAAATAATCATCAGCAACAAACAATGAAGATTAATAATGTTATTGATTATGAATCCCTTCCGGTAATTTTACTTTAATCTGATGTTATGTTTGGTTTAGAGTAAATTTGAGAAAATAATCACTCACTTTTTAATAGTTCTTTTAAGAATTGGATAAATATTTTTTAAAAAATTCTGATATTATATTGTTCTACTATTTTAACCTGCAAATTTTTTTATCTACATAAAAGTATTGCATTTTTTTTAAGTTAAAAGATAAAAATTAAAATTTTTGGGAAGAAGAGTGTATTTTTTTTTAATGATCAGAAGGATTTATAAACTGAATTATCAAGAAAGTATAATTTTTTAATAATTATTTCTTATAAATAAATTGAATTAATTAGTAATTTGAAGACAATGACAATACATCACCTCTACTCCAAATCCAAATGTGAATCCCAGGACAATTCCTGCCGGTAATCCAACTACATAGTAGCACCCAATATTGATGTATGCTACCAGAGACTGCCAGCCAGCTCCAACAGCAACACCTACAATGAGGCACAACAGAAGCACAAATTCATCAAACAAAAGAAAAAAGTGACACCCTTGATTGGATATAATTTGAGTGTGTTTCATTCTTTCAAGAACTAACCAGATAGGACGGGTTGAAGGCTGTTCAGAACTACTGTGACACCAAGCAAGACAGCAAGTTTAGTTGTTTCCTCGGCAACTGCAATGCTTGAGGTGAACAAGTAGGGAAAGTAATCCCTGGTTGCTAGTACTATGATCATGGCAACAACACCTATGGATACTGATGTGATGGAAACCACCAACACTGAAAACCTGGCAGCTCGGAAATCACCAGCTCCAAGTTCATTTGATACTCTCACACTGTCCATAAATTAAAATACGTTCTTCACAATATTCATTAGTCACATTACATGCTTGTTGAGAAGACACAGAAAGAAAATCGGTGTTTGTTGTTTTCTAAATAAAGGATTTTATGTCATGACAAGCAAGAAACTGTATTAAAGGAATCACCTTATTGCAGCATTGAACCCAATTGCAATCATGGCATCCCAGCCATTTATGTTCATGCTGTAAACATGGAACCAAGTATTAGTAATCATTCTTGATGTAAGATTTTGTTATGTTTACTTAATATGATGTGCTTGGGATGATAGGTTGACTTTGACTAAGAGTGCATTTAAATTACAAATTTTTATTGCATATGGGGTTTATAATAAAACTTATTGATATTAACTGAAAAGAACTTACAAGAATCATAAATTATTTTTATAAATTCTTTGTGAACTCTTTCAAACAGTGGCCTAATTAAAGCAAGACAAGCTCAGTTTTGATTTGGAAGCATAGCAAAATAGGAAATGACATGCAAGTAAACACAAACTAGTTGTAAATGTCTCTTTTTTTTTTTTTTTAAATTACAGTGAGAATTTGGAGGGAGGGTAAAGAATTTTTCACCAGATAGATATGGCATCAACAGGTACCAGAGGATTTTTCAAACGCCCTGTTATCACCACCAGTATCATCAAGTACCAAAACTCCAAGCTGCCGCAACCCATTTCCGGAGTGCACATTTAACATCAATATTTCAACAAATATATTTAAGTTAAAAGGAAAAATGAAGTTTAGTGAAAATACCATAACATAACAGCTGAAGCCAATGAGAGTTTCACAAAAGCAAACAAGTCTGCAAATGCTAGCCATGTAAATCCACTCCAAGCTCCTTCTGACTTGGTGATAAAAATGTACAATAATTGTGCAATCACAATCAACCACCATGATGTATTAAGTGTAATTGCTGCTCCAGTTAGACCCCATCCCAACTTTAATATTAAAAGCCAACTAAAAATTGTATGCAGCACCAAAACAACTGCTGATATCCATAACATCACCAGGACTTTCCTTTGTGCTTGTAAGAACTTTTGGATCGGAAAGTTCAGGGCGTATGCAAACAATTGCGGTATCATCCACACAGCAAATTTTCCTACAAAAAGATTGTAGAAATAATAAATATAAGATGCTCCAAATGACTATAAATAGGAACAAAAAAGGCATAAAAGTTTCTTACGTTTTGCCTATTACTTATATAAACTTTTAACTAGGTTTGTTTATAACCTCTAAATTATTAAAAGCTGGGCTTCTTTTTTGGTACATAATAATAATAATAATAATAATTATTATTATTATAATAGAGGAAAATGTTTTAACAAATATATTTTTCTCTTTCAGCGACTTAACATCAATAACTAGTTTTAAATATCCATTATCAACTTTGACACTTAAAAAAATAAAATAAAAAAAAGTTTGTAACATAATTAGAATATAAAAACGGATTTGAAAAGTTTAGAAATAAGAATTTTAGTGAAAAATTTGATAAATTTTTTTAAAAAAATTATAAGATGTAAGATTAGAATTTAAAGAGAAAATTTTTCTTTTTTGTTTTGGATGAAATTTGATATCTTATTTAATCATTTTTAGTAAAATATAATGCAGTTGATTCAATTTATAAAATTTTAAAATAAAAAATTGAAAAAAACTATATTTTCTATTTTTAAATGAAATTATTAATTAATTCAAAAATTATCTATAAGATTCAAAAAGGTATATTATATAAATTAAAAAAATTAAAAAATGAGATAAAAAAATTAAAAAATGTACGCCTTCCCCTTGAAATAAGGGCGAGGGGAACCGTAATGACTAAGAAGACAAAATAATGACAAAGAAGACAAATATCATAAATCCCATTTTGATAAACTATAGTTTTCTGATCTTGAGGACTGTCACACATTAGAAAATTAAACTTGTACTTTAATTATAACTGTGTCTAGAATAAAGTTAGATCATATGAATAGAAGTATAGAACTGACCAGCTGCTACTGAGATCTGATTAGTCTGTCCAATGAGCTCCAAGATGGGTGGAGACCAAACATAAACAGGTACCAAAAGAATGGCTGTGGTCAACAAGATGACCCATGATCTTTGCATGTACACCCCCAACATTCGGATCTGACCTGCACCGTATGCTTGCCCACATAGAGTCTCCAAGGCACTTCCCATACCCAACTATTCTCAACAAATAAATTATCATTTTCACAACTTAATTATCCCAATTATTTTAAATAAATTTAACTATTGTCGCATTTAAGTATTACTTTGGTTAAAATAATTAAAAAAATATTTTTATTAAAAATTATATTAAAAGTATATTAAAAAACCATGAAACAAGTGCATTATCATATTTTTTTTATATAAAATATATGTTTTTCTAACTTAAATACTCATTAGAATTTGCCATAAAAATAACATTTTTAAGTAATTGACAATAAAAAATTAAAATTGATTAAAAAGTTCATAAATAACAAAGTCATTAAAATTTATATTGAAAATAAACTAAAAAGTTGTAATAAAAGCATGATAATAGCACCTTAAAAAATTATAAAAAAAAATATTAAAGAATTATTTTACAAGTGATAAAAATATTGTTTTAACATTTATCTTAATTGTAATATTAGTTTTTATATTTTAATGCATGTGTAATTTTAATTTTTCTAATTTTACTTAGTTATATTTAATCTTTCTAATTATTAAATGTTCAAATTAAATTATTTACTTAAAGATTATTAATTTTATTATCTTTTATTTAAAACTTTTACATATTATGTATAAATTAATAAAATGTTATATTTCTACTATATTTTTATTGATTTTTTGGGATAAACTTTAAAAATAAAAGATTTAATTTGAATAATTAGAAATTTATAAAATTAAATATGAACCATTAAAATTATATAGTTAAAAAATGTATTAAATTTAAAGGATAAATACTAAAAGTGTAATTAAACTTAAATAAAAACATAAATAATTTTACATTTACGTCTGTGAACACCCCTCTCCTCAGTTTCTCACTCTTGTTTAAAGAAGTGAATCAAATAATTTAGGTTAACTAAATCAACTTTCTTCATATTGTGACATAAAACAAATGTGAAGAGAATTAAAGTAAAGGATAATTTTAACCTACGTTTAATAAAATACAATTTTTTGAGGTTAAGCATTGTGTTAGAAAAATGGTAAAACAGAAGGCAGAGAACAAAGTTTAGGTACCATGATTCCAAAGGCGAGGCCAGCAACAACAGAGTTTTCAACGGAAAAAGCTGCAAGATCGAGTTCCCCAACGAAGCCAACAAATGTTTGAGTGAGTGCACCAAGCGTGTACTGACATAAGGAGGTAAGGATTGCTGGGCATGCTAGCTTCCATAGCTTCTTCGATTCCGACCCAAACCTCTCAACAAAGCTCACTGCCTTGTCTTCCTCACCATTATGTGTGTGGCCATTGTTTTCTAGTAGTGGAGAGTCCATAGACGCAGTTACTTTACTTGAGATGAGACACCCACGTGTTCCTTCTTTCAACTTCAAGTGCCCTTAGAATACTAAAATGTCGCTTTAATTAGCTTATGTTGGAAATGGGAATGGCGAGTGAGGAAGAGGTGGAGCGTGGCTACCAGGCGCTAACTGCCATAAATATCAGAATGGTGGGTGGCTATATAATATACGGTATACTGTTGTGTTTCAATTTAATTTGAAAATACGTTATGCTTTTAATTTGTTAAAGTTAAGAATGAATGTGTTTATTTTTATGCATTAAACTAAATCTATGCGTCTCGAATATCCCTGACAGCCTAAATGAGTAAACAAGTTGGCTTGGCTCAAAGAATTGAGAAATTTTAGGAGTAAATGATCTAATTAGTTTCTAAAAATATAATTATAGGCTATTTATTATTTGAAATAACGAAAAATAATTCAATCCTTTAAAATCTATTTGATGAGCATTATACTATGGAAAATAATATTGAGACTCTATTATTTAACCTTGTCTATGAAATAAGCTCGTAATTTTAAAGATTTATTAATTTTATCCTTGACCTTAATTACTCTTAGTCATTTTAATTCTTTAATTTGGTATAACTTGACTTTGTTGTTTATTAGTTAGTCCTCAACGTGAAAGCTGTTAAATTCAACGAGTGAATTGATGATTAACAAGTCTAATTTTGCATTTGGGTACCTTGAGTTCACATAATTTAAACACTACTCAGAGTTCTTTTTGGCTAATAAACTTATGTTTACAGGAATCCATTAGAGTGCTGCTGGAGATACAGTACACAGAATAACACTTCGAATTTAGACGTGCCTTCATAGCACATATGACACATAATGTCAATAATCAAATTAGTAGCTGACGTTGATTTTGAGGATTAAATTGATTAAAGTAATTGATACCTATAATTTTCACCATATTTATTGTAATTTATTTTTTGAATTTTTATACGTAATTATCACTATGAACGTTCTGCCAAAAGTGGAATTTTGGATTGGATCTAAAGTCCCTATGGTCCGCACTACTATGACTTGTACGGAGAATGTCGGCATGGAAAAACTAACCGGGGGTTGGCACGAGATAAGGAAACTGGTGGCTACCAGACGGTCCGTGTACTCCAAAGTTTGATGGAATTCCTTTGTAATCATAACAATATTTAAATATAAGTATTAATTTATAAATAAGTGTTAATTATAAAATTTAAATATATATTTTAATCGTTTATAAGTTTTAAAAATATAAATATCAAATTTAATTGATAAAAATATCTGTTGTAACTAAATATTATTTTCATAAGATACTTAATCTTAATTACTATATAATTTTATTTTATTTTATATTTTTATCTTTTCATCTTTCTTTAAGAAGAATGAATAAAATATTAATGTTAATATTTTTATTTTTATTGTGTAAATATTCCAAATTTTTATGTAATATTTCAAATATTAATAATTCTATTGATTCTAATTTATTAAATCTTAAGTTTAATTTAATTAAGTGAAAGGTAAAGAGCTTCAACTTAGAAGAGAATTCTATTGATTCCAATTTTAATAATTCTATTGATTCTAATTTATTATGCTTTGATAAGAAATATCCAAGATTTTATCTCTAAGGAATGGATTGCCTTTTTTTGTCATACTTAAAAAAAAAAAAAAAGAATCGTTATGCTAATATTCTTGTTAAAAAGGTGTTTAGTATTAAGGATGGAAACATGTCAGGTCAAGTTAGACTTTACTCTAAACAGGCCTGACATGTAACATAATTATTAGATCTGAGCCTGACCTGTTACTTGTTAAAAGCTTTATTTTAGGCCTGCCCTGACCTGTTTAAGTGGCCTAACCTGGCCTGAAGCCTGTTAAAAAAAATATATTAATAAAAATATAAATATTTTATTATTAAATTAGTTTATACATTTTTCTAATTTCTATTTATATTCTTAATAATTATTAAATATTTATAATAATATTTATATAATTTTATAAATAATTTTTAAAATATTATTTAAGTATTAATTATAAATATTTTATATTAATAAAATTTATATTTATATATTTTTATTTATTTTTTAAAATTATATAAATAGTAAATATTTTAGTTTTATTTTAGAAACATATTTTGTTTATTTAAAGACATCTTATATTCAACAAATAAAGTTATAGTAAATACATAAAATTGATAAAAAAAAATAATATTCACACAGTTTGTTGAATCAATTAAAAGAAAATTATATGTTTTAAAAAAAAATAAATTTAAACTTACTACAATATATATATATATATAATGACAATAATAATAACTATTAAATTAAAAAAATAATTACAAAAAATAACACTTATAAAATTTATTGAATCAACTAAAAAAAATATTATATTTTAAAAAGTAAATAAATATCGTCATTATAAAAGTTGTAGATGATAAATACTTATATTATAAAATTTATAGATGCAGAAAAATAACATATAAGCATAGGAAGAATTATTAAAATTTATATTTAAATTAAAATAAATTATATTTCTAAATTTTTATCTTAATTAAAAAATATGTGATAAAACTTAATATAAAAATTTAAAACTAATGTACTATATATATATATATATATATAATGAAAACAATAATAACTATTAAATTAAAAAATAATTACAAAATATTTAATTTTATTTGTCTCATTAATTTATTTTTTTAAATTAACAAATAAATGTAAAAGTAACTACAATATAATATTAATGTAATATAGAAAATATTACTGATACAATAAATTAAAACACATACTTATAAATTACATATAAATTTATAAATTGATTAATAATTTAATTAAAACATGTGCAAGTTATAAAAATATATATTATTATATAATTTATTTATAATTATATTATTTATATTATTTGCTACATAGTCTGATTATATATTATATATATATATATATTAATATATATTATAATAAGTTTTTTATTTTATTTTATTATCTTTTTTTTTAATTTTTAGTTTCAAATAAAATATAATTCAGATTTAAGCAATCTCTATTTATTATAAATAAAAAGAATTATAACATAATATATTAATATAATAATTAAATAATTAAATTAATAATAATAAAATTAAGAGTATAAAAAATATGTTAATATAATTTTATTATTTTATTTTTAAATTTTATTTCGTTTAGTTTTGATTACGTCTTATTCTTATTCAAAAACTTAACTATTTTTTAAATTGTTTAAATATAATAATTTATTATTAAATAAATTTATTATTTAAAAGTGTAATCATGTATAAATATTTTTAATTTTTAATATAATATAATTTATGTTTATTATAATTATAAATAAATAAAATTAGATCAAGACACAGCCCCTGTCAGGCGACTTGACCTGTTTTCATCCCTACTCAGTACAAGTTCATAAAGTAGTTTTAATATTCTGTTTATTCGTTATTAGCCTTTTCTTAATTTTTTCTTGTAAAAAGAAAAAGGTAAAGCTTCTACGCCTCGGTTGAGTTATTCTTAAATTAAAATTGAAGTTTTATTTCAATAATTTATATAATAAATATCAGCATTAAAACTCAAGATACTAGTATTAAAGCTCAACACAACACATGTTATTAAAATAAAATCCAAAAACTGATTGAAGATTAGTATCAATACACCTCTAGTAACAGTTGGAATTTCAACCAATCATCTGCCCATGAAAGCTGAGAAAAACGGTTGTCGAACTGGCTACTTACTAGAAATCAATCAAATATGACTGGTGAGTCAACTGCGATCCAGCAAAGAAACAAAAACTAAGAAGGGCGCCAAACTCTCCAAGGCCCGTCAGCGAACGGAGCCTCGATATCTATGAGAACAAAGGATAATGCTCTTGCGGCTGGAATCTCTGCCGATTTCTCCCGTTGAAAACTGGACTGTTCAGTTCATTTTTTATTGAATAAATTGAGATTTGTTAAAGTTTGTAAATTCGTTTAAACGAATTTTACAGTTGTTGACCATTAACGATGGCATTTCAGTGCTTTCCATGCACTCTCCGATCAAAATACTTCTTGTCCTCATAAACAAGTCCCATGTGGCTGCACGCTGAGAGAATCCCAGTAAAAGACACAGTGACACACTATCTAGCTGCAACCCCATATCCTTCCAACACCCATGATCAGCAAGCACACAGATCATGATAGTGCACGATTGCATGTTCTTCTCATGTTTTGAGTTGAAAACCAAAAGGGTCTGGTCAATCTACTCACACTTACCATACATCTCAAAAAAAGTCGTGTCCAATACAACACTCATTTCAACCCAATTCCTTGTGATGTAGTAATGACTGGATCCGCGGGCATTGGCATTGAGCATTTGAGTACAAGCAGAAAGTAAGCTCAGAAAAGTGATTAATGGCAAAAAATTACAAATTTGGATTCAGTGAATTTAATTAGTTTAAGTAAATTTTCAAAATTCACTTAAATTTATCATCCATTTTTATTTTATCTTAAACAAAAATCAATTGGACAATCTAGTTCCGTTACAATGATAAAAGATTCAAATTCAATCTCAATGAATTTGTTTAGTTTAAAGTTTAAATATGCATAATTTAAATTAATTTATATACATATCTCAATCATATTTAATACTGATTTATATTGTACTTTTTTAAATATGTCTATGTGATTTAAAAATAATAAATAAAAATATGTAATTTTATTATATATATTCAAAGTATTGAATAATTTTTTTAATAATTTATTTATATAAGTCTTATAACTTTTAAAAAAATATACTTATTTGAGTACAAGCAAAAAGTAAGCTCAGAAAAGTGATTAATGGCAAAAAATTACAAATTTAGATTCAGTGAATTTAATTAATTTAAGTAAATTTTTAAAATTCACTTAAATTTATCATCCAGTTTTATTTTATCTTAAACAAAAATCAATTGGACAATCTAGTTTCGTTACAATAGTAAAAGATTCAAATTCAATCTCAATGAATTTGTTTGGTTTAAAGTTTAAATATGCATAGTTTAAATTAATTTATATACATATCTCAATCATATTTAATAATAATTTATATTGTACTGTTTCAAATATGTCTATTTAATTTAAAAATAATAAATAGAAATATATAATTTTATTATATATATTCAAAGTATTGAATAATTTTTTTAAATAATTTATTTATATAAGTCATATGACTTTTAAAAAAATATACTTATTTAGATAGTTTAATAATATATTTACACAGAAGCTTGATAGTCTGTTTTATAATATAAAATAGGTGTTAAAAAAGATAAATAAATCGAATTAGACTTTTAAAAAAATCTAGCTATTTTTATCCCTATTCACAGTTTCTGCCAAAGAACTGGAGTATGTGATGTTTGGTAATTTCATGTTATCGTAGATGAATCTAACAAAAAGTTACATAAAATAAAACTTACCCAAAAGTTTATCTTGTCTAAATACCCTATAAGATCCCTGACGATCAGAATCTAGAAAACTTGGAAATGTATACTACTCTACTTGCATACCATTGACTTTTTACAGCTTTTACATATTCGTGCTCGTTGGAAGAAAAAGCTTTTTTAGATAACTTTTCAACTGAAATGATAGCTTAATGAATAGCAGCTAGATTTTAAGCACTCAGTATCTTCTTCCTACCATAAACCGCCACAGTTTATCATGTAATAGGAAAGATGAGTGTAAAATACAAAAGTCAGGACGATACACACTCACCACATGAAGAAAATAAAATGATAATATATACGTTTAAGAATTCAATTAAAGCATTAAGAAGGTTCCACGTAAATAATTTCAGCTCGTCCCGAGGATCTCCTAAACCGCAACAGTTCTTTCATCAACTCTGATCCAACACTTGAACCAGGCTTCACAGTCATCCTTTCTAGCTCAGGAGAGTAAATAAGTAGGAAGCTGATAAAATCTAACTCGGGTTGGATACCAGAGATACCATCTATCCTCACATATCGCAGTTGCATGACTGAACAAGTCAAATAGACATCTTCCCAACAATAGTTGTCTGTTGACAGAACAGTTTGCTCCTCAGGTCGACCCTACATGCAATCATAATTCACGAGTGTAACAATCTTAGAAACTCCCAAGACTATTATCAAGAACTTATAGAAACCACACCAATACCCAAAACTAAACTACTTCAAAAGTTATAGTCCTTAAAGCTTTAAAGAAATAACAAAACCAGTACATGCAACCATAAATCAGTAAGCAAAGGCAAGTCACACTAAACTTATAACGAGTACTTACCAATATTTCTAGTTCTTGTAGATTAGGTGAGTTTCGTAAAAGGCAAAGAGCAGCTGAAATTTCCTTCGAATCATTGAAGTTTATTCTTATGGAAAGATAACTTAGATCAGCGCATTCACGCGGAAGATTTATTGGCACAACTCCCACTGCTAAATACTGGAGCAGAACCAAGAAACAAAACAATGGCTCAAATCAGTACATAATGTATTTAATACTAACACACCAATAGTAGATTGCAAATGAGCTTAGCTCATTCAGAATTTGTTGCAAGCAAAAAAGAAACAGTATTAGGGCATTCCTATAGTCTAAATCAACATTCAAATGCTCAAGAAATTGACAGATATTATTCACAGAATTCACAGAAATAGATGAATGAATTGGTTTGGCAATGTGATGCTGCTATCAGCATCGTACCTTTAAAAAATAGCTTTGAACCTCTAGCCTTTGCACGTGTGGCAGATGATAAAAAAATTTGAGCAAATTGCTTGAACCAACATGCAATCTACTATGGTTGATTTCAAAGTTCAAATACAAACCAATAGATACCACAGCTAATTGGGAAGTGTTCTTAAAGCTAACATCCTCAAATCTACCTCCAATGTCAAAAAACAGGAGATTCGGTGCATCAATATTAAGTTGAGTGAAACCATCAAAGTTCATCAAAGTCAACCGTTCAAGCTGAGGGCAGTTGGATATCAAATTTTCAAAAACATCTTGAGCCAAGGTAACATGTTGCAGATCAAGACTCTTCAAGTTCCTAAAGCCTCGAAAATTAGATGGAGGTTTAAGCCAACAATTGAATAATTCTAAATGAGTCAAACTTTGACAAGAAAATAAGTACGAGGGTATCTTATAGCGTTGCCCTTTCCAGATTTCCAGCACAAACTCTTTAATAGACCTTCTGCATAGATGGCTAGTCCAACGATCAATATCAGTCACACCAATGAGATCACGATGTGAGAGCTTGAACTTGTTGATTTCCCCAAAATGAAGTAAAAGTACATGATCAATAGCTCTCAAAAGCTTGTTCTTGATAATTGTAAGGTCCTGAGAAGCTACAGGGACACATTGGTTGTCAAACACAAGATTCGGTTGCGTGGCCCATTTGTACCTCCATTTGCTTGATAAAACACTTGTTCTCACCGCTTCCCTAATCGACACATACGACAGAATATGATCTACTACATGATCTGGTAAACAACTAATTCTGTCTGGCTCCACATCTGTTAGGCAAGGAGACTGGGATTGTTCCTTTCCCTATTGTCAAATTCAAACGCAGGAAACAAATAACAAACTAGGTTACCATATATGTATATAGGAAATTTCCACCAAAACCTTAAACAACTTGTTAATGTAACTTCATTGAACAAAAACAGCACGATGATCATTTACTGAATAAAAAAAAAATAATAACAGTGTAACTTAATTACAAGCTGGAAGCACATTTTCTTGGAGGATGCCTATAGAAGTAAAATAATCACACGCAAAACCATCTTATGTTAGTAAATGCCTAAGAAAGATTCAATCACACACAATGAAAATCCGAAATTCAGAAGACTCTGAGAAGTTACCATATCAAGCTATGAAGTAATCCAGGGATAGCACGTAATCTCTGAAAGCGATTGCTACAGAAAAATAAAAAAAACAAAAATCTTCAATTCAATAATCAGATTATCAATAATTAAATAGTGAAAGGGGAAAAAATACAAATTGACGGAGCATTGGAATGATTGAGAAGTACTGACAGTAAAACCTATGTGAATCAAACACAGAACAATGGAGAAAGAAGATTCGGAATCGGAACAACCTCGTAACGAAACAAACTGGAATGACTAAAAGACAAGGGTTAGATCCGCGGGTTTAAAACGTTGGAAGATGAAGAGAAAGCTTGGTAGGGACAGGGTTTTTCTTTTTTCGCCGATAAATCGTAAACAGACCTCGCGGTTTTATTCATTATTTCGTTTTTCGGTAGATGGATTTTAATTTTAATTTTAAATTTAAATAATTTATTTAAAAATTAAAAGTATATTACACAGTTATATTTAACAGAGAGAATGCTAAATATTTTTATTATTAATAATAAATATTAATTATAATAAATAAAATTAAAATTAAAATTAAAAGCTAATTATTTAAATTAAGATACATAATATTCTTTTACTAATTTTCCGTGTCAAAGTTTAAACTTTAAATTAAAATTATAATAATATTAAAATTCAATCCATTTTAAATTTAAAGATATATTCAACTTGATATAACATATCTAGATTAAAAATTCAACTGGATATGGTATACAAATTTTTATTGAATCTCCTTATATATGCATTAATTTTTTTTAATTAACTTTAATTTGAAATTAAATAAAAAATATGTAAAAATAATAAAATAAAAAATAAAAAATAAAAAGTAAAATTTAAAATTCTTTTAATTTAAAAATAAAATTTATGATACAACTTAAATAAGAGTTATGACTTTAATTACTTTTTTCCCTTTAAACATGATATTTTGACAACTAACGTGTTGACATAGTTTAAGGTAATGTTTGTTTATTTATATTTCAAAATAGTGTTTAACTTATACTCTTTAATTTTTTATTATCTAGTTTTTTATATGTATTTTAAATTTTAAATAATTTATCTAAATATTTAAAATATATTACACAACTATTTTTACTAAAGAGGATGTTAATTTTTATTATTATTGATAAAAAATATTTTATTGTATTAAATGAAATTCAATAAAAAAGTTATAAAACTGAATTATTAAAATAAAAAATATCATTTTTTATATGATGTGTCAAATTTTAAAATTTGAATTAAGGTAATAGTAATATTAAATCTATTTTAAAAATAAAGACTTGATACAACATATCAATATTAAAAGTTCAATTTATACTATATCCATAATTTTACATACATTAAAAAAATTAAAAAATTAATATTAATTTTAATTTAAAATTAATGTTACAAACAATACTCAGAAGAATAAAAATTTAAAAATAAAATTATCTGTTAAAATCAAATATTATTTAATATTTTTATCATTGAATATAAGTGGATTAACGAGATGAATTTTTTAAAATAAAAAACTATTAATATATATATATATATATAATCTTTTATTAATATAGTTAAATTTTAGAATTTAAAATTATATTATATTAATTTTATGAGTTAGTCATTTAAAATATATCTTATTTAAAAAAATATCGTAAAGAGCTGAGTAAACACTTTTTCTCTCTCAAAACTTAAAGATTTGGCTTCTTGCACAAAGAGAGAGAAAAGTATCTCCTATGCTTAGCTAGAGTTTACTTTTCTTCTAGAGTTTCCTTGCATGTTCAACATTGTTGTGCCTCTAATGACTATCAAGCAAATATAAGAAGGCTTCTAACTTAGAAATAACTGTTGATCTAAAGGGTCTAGGATAAAGTGCCTTAAAATAAAGAAATGTTCATCATAAGAGGAAGATTTGATGAACTGAAACAAAAATGAAAAAAAAATAAAAATGTAAAAGTGAGTTCTAAATCTTCTATTATGGAGTTGAAAGAGGTTATGCAAGAGGAAATTTCTAAAGAATGTCACGATACCTAGATGTTTTCTGTAACATCCTCTCTTTTTTTAATTGATTATTTTTATTAATTATGTGTGATTGACATTTTAATTTGACAAGCCTTTAAAAATAACCTGCTGCAGAGTGTCTAGCTCAAGTAAGACATGTCTCGCTCAAGCGAGATTAAGCATTATGGACCAAGAGATCGTAGAGCATTCTTGCTTAGGCGAGATAGGATAGAGTCACTCCAACTCTCCTTTTGCCTAGGTGAGAAGTGATCTCTCTCAAGTGAGAAATGATCTCGTCCAAGTGAAGTGGAGCTTGTTAAGCGATCTCGCAGAAAAAAATTGGATAGTTCTCTAGACCTATTGACTCTCACTCAGGCGATAATATCAAAAAACCTAAAAAACTACTGTCTGATGTTTTTGTCCAAGCAAGACATGTCTCACTTGCTCAAGCGAGAATTAGCCCGCTTATATGAGAGCGCGCTAATTTATTCCTTTTTCAGCCTGAAAGCTTGCATTGCAATCCAAGTTACCTTTTTCTCTAATTTATCTCTAAACTCTCACCTCTTTTCCCTGGAGAAACTTCTTTCAAACCCTGATCATTCCTTGAATCCGAACTTAGATGTTCAATCCAATCAACTCCAAGTAAGTTCCTCAGAGTTTAATTCTCTAAACTTATTTTGATTTCTCTATTTTTCTCTCTTCTTAGATGTGCTCTATTTTGTATAATATGTAGGAAGAGCTCTGTCATTTGAAAGATATTCTTTATAAATTTCTTCTTAAACTTCATTCTCAAGCTAAGGAGAGCTTATTCCATCATTAGAACATAACAAATATTTTATACTCATAAGAGTACTATTGTGTATTTCTTGCCTATAAATATATGAATGAATAATATTTAATTATTGTGAAAGGTTGGTGGTATATATTTGGTTGATTGAGATGTTTGTATTGTATTTTTGTGGAATATGTGATAAGAACTTAGTTTGGAAATATCTTGAGCAAGTATGAACTTTTAGTTGAATGAGACTTGACTGTGGTGAAAGATTAATAATGTATGTTCTAGATGATTTTGAAAGTTTATAATATATTAAAACCTATGTGTTGTTAACTTAGTCTGGAAGTACTTTACTAAGTACAATATTTTAGCTAAATAATGAGATTGATGTGAAAAGGAGTATGGGATGAATACAAAGTGATGAAAAGAATTAAGTGTAAATAGTTACAAAAATATACTAGGGTATAAAATTCAGAGATGATGAGAAATCTAGGAGAAATGTAGGGTGATGAGCGACATTTGTATATGTGTACATATTTTTTCTGAGAGCAAATGCGTCACATGACTTCACACTTGTTTCCTGACTAGACTTCTGACTATACCTTTGTTAAAGAGCTCGTTATTGTATACGTTGAATCTGTGTGTATGGGCTAACCGACAGTTATTTACCTATTTGTGTAAGACCTTACAAAGTGCTGAAGACATCGAATATCTATGATCATAGTGCATAAAAAGTGTGTAATTGAGGAAAAATGAGTGTACTGGTGTTGTGATTAAGTATGTTTACAGTATGGAAATTACTGATGTATGTCTTTCTGTATTTAATGTGATACGATTTTTCTTTGAATTCTGAATTAAGTTTATGTTATAATAATTGATAATGTAATTGCATTATATTTAATGGTAAGATAAGTACTCATCCTTACTAAACATTTCAGGGAACAAGGATGACACATGCTAAAATGGATTAAATCAAAGGGCATTACTTAAATACTATTGCATGTACATGCAAAGAAATGATAAAAAGAACTTTATTTGCCAGAGAATTGGGCATTCTTATCATAATGCATGATTACTTAACAGGGGGATTCATTGCAAATACTGGCTTAGCTCATTTTTGCTGGGATAATGGTCTCCTTCTTCATATCCATCGTGCAATGCATATAGTTATTGATAGGCAATAGAATCATGGTATGCACTTTCGTGTGCTAGCTAAAGTGATACGTTTGTCTGGTGGAGATCATATTCACACTGGTACTGTAGTAGGTAAACTTGAAGGGGAGAGGGAGATCACTTTAGATTTTGTTGATTTGTTACGTGATGATTTTATTGAAAAAGATCGAAGTTGTGGTATTTATTTCACTCAGTATTAGGTTTCTTTACTTGATGTTCTATCTTTTGCTTCAGGAGGTATTCACGTTTGGCATATGCCTGCTCTGATTGAAATCTTTGGAGATGATTCTGTACTCCAATTTCGCGAAGAAACTCTAAGACATCCTTAGGAAAATGGACTTGGTGCCTCACCCATGAGTAAATATTTTGTAGTAGTCTCATTAAACCATACACCTTTCTTGGTATATCTAGATAGTAGATAGGAGCATCAACTGAAACATTCTAGAGTTACAAAGATAGTTATTAAATCGTTAGTGCCGCATAAAATTCTTCCTAGTGCAGTTGTTAATACGAATAATAAAAACTTTGTTATATCTGTTTCTGTACATTCAATGTACTTTACGAGTAAGAATACATATAATTGAACATAGTAAAATAAGAAATTGAAATATTTCTTGAAATTGTTTGTTTGGAAATTTTTCGAATCATAAGTTCTTCACTTCATCGGAACAATAGCGCCGTTATGCTGATTCGTAAACTTGTTGAAGAGATAAAATAGAATCAAGATATTTCTTTTTGATCAAAGGTTGAATCGATCATCAGAAGAAGAATGAGGCCAAAAATTAGAATACATTCTTTAAATAAAAATTAATATTTAGGGAGAAAATGACCTCTTCAAAATATTGAATCTGAATAATGATTTTTTTAAAGTAAAATTTAGTAATATGGATGATTATAAATGCACTTTTTGAGGGACTTTGGCTTATTCTTGATCACTACTTCTTGGTTAAATATGAAGGCCTCTATTTAGGCCTAAAGACCATAATCTTAGAAAAATTGTTACTTAGGTGCACATTACTGATTTACTTATAAAATTATACAATAAAAAATTCATATGACAAGTATGAGCTTGCCTAAAATCAATGTCAAAAATTGATCTCCATACTTCTCCGTTGTTTAAAGGTAGATTTACTAGGATTTGTGTTAAATTAGATTCAAGAAAAAAATTTATCCATTCCTTTAAGTATTTAGGCCATGAGTTTAGAGTGAATATAAAGGTCTTCACCTTATGATGAAAATCAAAGAAGGTCTATTGAAAAAAAAGAAGGTTTGAGGGCATTGGAAGAGCTTCAAGGACTAATGACAAGAGTAAAAACAAAGAAAATAAAATAGGTTGGGACAAGAAGGATAAATTTCAAAACTATAGTTTTGAATCTTCCTATCAAT